CACCTGATTGATTTTGTGACCTAATTTAGTGCTGTCTTACCTGCTGGATCCCTGGTTTCTTGCCACAATTTTTGTAGCCTCTGCTTATGTTTTAACAGGCGATCTAGACTAGGAAGTTCGTTGTTTATGTCTGAAAGTGTAACTTTTCTTGTGGACAACCTATATGCCGAAGCAATAGAGGCTGTAAAGTCGCGCGCCGCTTTATCAGCTTCTACCTCAGACTTAATTTCTATTTTAGGTGATAATAACTCAGAGGTGAGGCTTTGAAACTGCTCCCAATCTGTGAATTTTTCAATAGGTTCTGAAAGGTTCCTAATTTTAACATGATCCAGTATGTGGAATACTATTGGTAGGTGATCTGAATCCAAAATATCGGAGACAATGACACCTGACATTCTGATATTTTTGTGGACCACAATATCCAGCACATCACCATTTCCCGTAGGGGAATAATGAGTGGGGCGCTGTGGTGCTGAAATTTTGAATTTACTCATATCAAACAAATCCATGAGTTTCTTGCCTGATGGGTTTGAAACTCTGCTATTCCAAAATGGGGTGCTTAGCATTAAAATCCCCTGCCAAAATAGATGTACATCTAAAGCTTAAGAGCTGAGTGATGTCAGCATCACTCCAGGCCCAGCTTGGGGATTTATAAACAGCCGCAAGCAGTACTTCACTGTTACCAATTGGTATGCAGACCCCTGTTGCTTCTACTGAAACAAGGGGTGGTAGGTCTACATGGTTATGGGTAATGCCTTTTCTAACTGCAATGGCAGTTCCGCCTTTTCTGCCTGAGTGGCGGTCAATTCTATAAAAGTGGTAATTTGGAAGAAAGAATCTCTCATGAGGTTTCAGATGTGTCTCTGAAAACAGGGCCACGTCTACGCCTAGGTCTTGTAGCTGCTTACTGAGCTTATAGCGCTGCCTCCAAATGCTGTTCACATTAAATGCTATGATTTTGAGTGGCCATTTTGTTTCATGAAATTTAATACAATTTTTGTAATGGCCATTATTTTGTCCTCTTCAGACACTGCACCATTGGACTCTGTCATGATCTGCTGTACTGCAGTCACAACTCTCAACATATTGTTGAGAGGTTGACTGTTTGCATGAGGAGCCTGAACTGACTGACCTGTTTCTTTCTGCAGTGCAGGGGCTGGTACATTTTGTTGTTTTGTTACTGTAGGGCAAACCATTGGAGCGCGGTTTGCCTGTGGTCGCTGTTCTGCGTTACCTCCTAGTGCCACTACGAAGGACATGCCTGGGGTTACAAGGTTCGATGCGAAAACCCTCTCCATAGCAATTTTTCGGTGTTCGCTTTGCCTTCCTTTTTTGCAGCTCTTCCCTGGTGTGCCTGCAACCCTGATAGTTGTCAGGATGTGGCTTGTCTCCCTCTGCCAACCAGCAGTTGCAGCATGTTGGGATGGAAGCAGCGTTTCCCTTCTCTGGGCAGTCCTTATGCAGGTGTCCACCTCCGCACCACAAATAGTGTGGAGGTTGTTTACAGTTAGCCCAGAAGTGGCCAAACTGTTGACAGTTATGACATTGCGTAAGTCCACTCTTAGCTCTATACGTCTCCACCTTGATTGATATGTGGCAAAGGCTTGGCAGATTGAATATTTCATGTGATTTTGCCGTCCGCGGCAAGGTTATCAGGAACAAGGGAAGGTTCCTGGTTGTTGCTTCTTCAGGTTGGGATCGACGGGTTGTCGTCATTTGCGTGACGCTAACAACATCGAAGCCCAGGTTTTCCAGACCTTCTGAAATGTCCTGAGCAGGGGTATTGATGGGGAGGTGTCGGATTACTGCCTTAACAGGCTTCTGGGATTTTGGGAAGAAGGAATAATAGGCTAGGTTATTGTGGGTGAAATGTGACTTGATGGCTTCGAAATCCGCCATGCATTTTGTAACACTTCTGGTTCCGGTTCTTGTACTATGGAACTTGAAGTCGTCCTTGACCACGTTTTTCGGTTTCTTTTGCAACTGTATGAGATTCCTGGATGATGTCAGTATTATTGGAGGCGGCCTACCTGCTTTGCCAGAAACTGCCTCCTTGGGTGTCAGGGCCTCTGCACTAATGCTGTCAGTCTCAATTGATGTTTTCAGGGGGGCGAAGAAGTTGCAGGTGGCAACCTCTTTGGGGGCGTAATTTCAATGTCTGCCACTTTTTTCTTCTAGGTCAGAGCGGCCTCATTGGTACCATGCCGCTTGCGCCGCCTGACTTCTTTGAAACCGTCCTCCTGGATTGAAGAGGACTTAGTTTCTTCAGACTAAGCAGTTTGACTTTTCGCCTTCAGCCCAGCCTTTAACTTCAGTGAGGCAACTGTGTATGTGCCATACAGGGCACTAAACAGGGTCTTCCCTGTTAGGGCCTGGCAGTAGTTCTGGCCATTTTCATCCACCTCACTGATGATGGATGACCACTGTTCATTGTCACCCACCGAAGCTAGAGTGTACCCTACCACGTCCTCGATGTCGTTGACTACTTGAAGGAGCTGTTTCAGCTGTACGTCTGCGTCGGGGAACTCGCCTACCAGCTGCTGGTACTGTGATTTTAGCGTCTGACGCTTCTTGGTCCAATGTGCCCGGTATCCCAGCACTGGGATGGCAGCCATATTTGGCACCACTGTTAGTGTCTCGTGTTCACTGACTTCAGTTTTTGAAGAACCACTATCAACAATGAATATAAATAGTAATCCAGTGTCGCAGACTCATCTCTTCTCTGTTCAGCTACAACCGATGCGAACACACGCCTAATTGCCAATAATCTCGACCCACAATCTCACAGACACAAGAAGTGGACAAACACTTGAACTAATAAATCAACGACCTGTGTCACCATGTACTCGAATCAGCTCACTCGTCAAAACCTCTGTTTCCCAATCTCTTCAACTCTCTGTCTCACCACCGGTTTTGGTTCTTCTGATATAGCCTTGGCATGGACCCAACAGAAAACACAGCCCCCAGCAGTACCTCTGTTGTCATGGTTGCTTGCCTAGTGATGGCCTGGGTATTGTTGATATGTTTACAGACCATTGTCTGGGTGACACCTTATTTACAGCCTGTTACCAAGCAGCACATGTTTCTTCTCACTCTGCACATCTGGCCTTAATCCTGTATGTCACTGTATACTTAGTGATGGTGTACTATACTTACATGTGTACAGCATGAATTCTACCTTATGTTTTTAGGCATAAACATATAGATACAGAGCGAGACATGCAAAGGACACAGCCAAGATGTTCTAGAGGAGTAATTACTTAGGCGCTAAGGAGTTCAGGTAGAAGTTTTTTGTAGTTTTTCTCAGTGTTCTATGTATTTCCTCAGTTTCATGGACCGAGTGAAAAACCACTGAAGAGTAGAACTGATGATCTTGGGTCTGGAACCACTCTGGAGCAGAACCTTTAAGTTCATCACTCTAAAATTGACATTCACATTGATGTTTCCTCAGATATTTGGTACCAAATGATCAGTGGGGCCTAGGTCTTGGCTATAGGGTGGCTAGTAAAATTGTATTTCTCAAATCCACATTCCCTAGCAGGAGCCAGACTTAGTACAAGAGCATTGTTGTGAAGAACTATAATACTGAGTATCAGCTTTCCTTGTAATGTTTCCTTTGTGGTCTCCATAAAAGATGTGCAGCACACCAACACAGGCATCCTCAAAGATTGTTATGTTTCTCATTCATTTGAATGCCCAAAAATGGCAGCTGTGATCGTCCCTGCTGCTATTTATGTTTGTTATTTCTTTGCAGAGGGTGTTTCCACTGTGTGGACTCTGTTTTGTTTCAGGATTCTATTGAAGAAATAAGGTTTTAACACCACGTTTCATAACAATTCTTGAAGAAATGTTTGTGTAACTGTTTCATATAAAAGTAAAAAAAAGTGAAGCTATCCCTGTATCAGGCCGTGAAGGCCCATAGGGTTTTGAGACGTTGAGTCCCACATTATCTAGACAATCGGCTCAAAGATGGCAGTAAGGTTGTCAGCCTTATGCGCCGGCCACGCTTTACTCCCCAGGAAAATTATTTAGTAACTGTTTCATATACTCGTCATAAAGTCCATTTAGAAAACTGAACACTGCCCTTCTTCTGAAGAAGAATTATAATTCTTAGAACCTATTTAGGAGTGACCGCTGACATGCCCAGTAATTCATGAGGATGGCCTAAATGAATAGTTCAGTATGTTGAATTCTTGAGCAGTCATTTCCTGAAATGAAACCCACTCAAATGTTTGGTCAGACAAAGGCATGAAGTCCATGGTGGTAAATTGGCTTCAGCAACAGAACAGGGAGTTGTTTGCAGAGGGGATCCATCAGCTAGTGCATCAATGAGATGCCTTCCTCAGTATACATAGGAACTATTTATAATGTCCTGTGTAGCTTGATTTGCCTGCCATGTATAACTTTGTCTTCAGTTTTCTGGCACATTTCTGAAGTAATTACTTTAACTGGCCTTCCAGGATATCAGCCATCTTCAGTGGACATTTGGCAATTTTAAGGTGCAGTGTCACTATAAGCCACCAACATCTGTTCCTCAGTTATCTTGTATCTTGTATCTTTATTTTCATTTCCATAGATCCTTACTGGCTACCAAAGCCATCAGATATAGAACATGTCACAATTTACACACATTAGTTCTGAGACGAGACTAGTCCTCTTACAGCCACATTCATAAAAGGAACCATAATTATACAATTCAATAATTTAACCAACATGTACAGTTCATCAACTAGACATTAATAATGTTTCACTTATTCCCATCCTTCATTTGTGATAATGAATCAGTGCTCAAATTTCAACAAATCCATATTTATGCTACATTAGAAGGATGATATAAGCTTCTGTTTTGCCATAAGTTTCAAGCAGACATTGCTTGTGCTCTACAGGCAACAAGCAGAGACATTACTTTATTTGCTTCATGCAACTGAGCACTAATTTGCTATTACCCCTTTTAAAGTATACCTGCTGCAGTTTGTCTGAAACTTCTGTTTCAATTGAAGGATTACTGGCTGGAAGCAGCGGGAGCACCCAATGCTGTACAATGCCCTCCACATTGGTGACCAACTGTTGAGCGTTGCAAGTGTTGTGGTTCAGAGTGCGTCTGATGCACAGAAGTTGATTCGAGGTGCTACAAGTCTGTATGTAAGTAATTAAGACTCTTCATATGCAATGTAATCAATACATTTCATTAAATGAGCCTGTTTGCAACATCTTAGCAGTCATTCATTAATTAAATAGAATTACATACAATACATACTTATATTGGGGCAGATTTTTTTTTGTCATATCTGGCTTCCTTAGTGAGAACAGTTTACTGCAGGGAGTTCTTTGCCAGATCCAAATTAACAACCAGTTCCATTCAAACAACCAGAATTATCCATTCTTCAAGAGACCAAACCTTCACTTAAATATTGCATGTAAAGTAGCATTGCATTATATTGCCCTGTCCTTAACAAAAGTACATGCCCATATAAAGCAGCAAGTAAAACTGTACTTCTGTACTTTTTAATTTTTAAATTCTTAGATAACAGGCACTGAGACAGAAGAATGGTAGCAACCATTCCCCAAATTTCATTTCATTTAAATTGAATGCATTCTTGATTTTTCTGTCATTAAGTAAAATTGTACTTCTGTACTTTTTAATTTTTAAATTCTTAGATAACAGGCACTGAGACAGAAGAATGGTAGCAACCATTCCCCAAATTTCATTTCATTTAAATTGAATGCATTCTTGATTTTTCTGTCATTCCACAGTCCAGAAAATAATGATACCCTCTCAAATTCTGCTGCATTCAGCAGACAAAAGTAAACTCCCCCAAAGGACATGTAAGTCACAGTTAGAATAAATACATAATGAATTACAAATAACAGTCAAACACACATTACAAAGTAAGAAAAGAAATGGAAATCATATTTAATATGTACAATGTTACATAATGAAATGCATATAACAAATATGTATTATACTGTAACAGCTTAATTGTTTGTAGTGTATTTACAAAATTGTTTGATATTAACATCAGACATAGGCTTTTGTGGAACATATTATTTTTACATTTGCCTAGGGGGATTAAGGGAGATCATTACAAGATCATTACAGTCAGAACAGTGAATATCAGCCAAGTTGAATCCACATATCTCCTGAACACAAAATATTTACATCTGAAGTATACATGTACATTACAGTCATATAATATAAATTATTTGACCCTCTTGATACCAAGCCTGGAGTTACAGGATAAGCAAGAATTTGAAAATGTGTGAGAACTGCCCACATTCAAGCAAATGTTACAGTGACAGCTCAAGTATCATTGCTTAGCAACGGCAAGTAAACAGTAGGTAAAGTTTACAACAATATGTGACTGTGGGACCCACCCACAGTGGATCAAGTGCTAGCCAATCACGTTGACATCCCACAGATATTTGTAAAAATGAATAATCCTTAAGGAAAACTTTGTGTAAGGATATACACTCAACTCTCGATTATCCGGCGGTGGATAAACCGGTTTGCAGCTTAACCGGGGCTACCGGGGCTTTTTTGAAGCTTATATGTTGTTTAATATTCATTCACTTTTGTTTCACATGGTGAGTTGTAACACTATATTCGCATATTATATGTTGTTTAATATTCATTCACTTTTGTTTCACATGGTGAGTTGTAACACTTATTCGCACTAGTGTGGACTGAGCTCTGCATTTTTTGGTCCTGTTATGCTAACACAATGTTCTAGGGTAGGGGTGAAAGAATGCAAGGATTTGTGGAAAGTTTCAAGGACAGATACACCGCCCCAGTTAGTCTCTTTGTATTGATCTTCAAGTGCGTTAGCAAAATGTCGGTGTAAAAGGAAGTGTGTTGTGTTAAGTATTCAACAGAAACGTGAAATTATCAGTCAGTTGGGAAAAAGAGGTGTAATTAAACAATTAGCAATGCAATACAGTATTGGAGAACAAACTGTTTGTGATTTGAAAAAACAAAAGAATCAATTAATTTCCTTTGCTTCGTCTTCTAATTCAGGCGGAATGGAGAAGAGAAAACCATGAAAAAATCAACATATGATGATCTCGACAAAGCAATGCTGATCTGGTTTAATCAACTAAAGGCACAGGGAACAACAATAACAGGAGCAGTTTGTGCTAAACAAGCAAAATTTTTTCCCAAAGCACTTGAACTACAAGGAAGTTTTGACGCTTCTTCCGGTTGGCTAACACGTTTCAAGCAGTGTCATGGAATACGAGAAATTAGTATTCAAGGTGAGAAATTGTCAGGGGACTTGTCATCATCAGTTCAATTTTGCACCAGTTTTGATAGTTTCGTGAAAAGTGAAAATCTGCTGCCAGAACTTTGGCATTTCAGTATGAAAGACAGGCTCCAGGTCACAAATCCAGTAAGGAGAGATTTACAGCCTTGTGCTGTTCTAATGCATCAGGAACACACAAACTAACACCAGTAGTTATCAGCAAAGTGAAAAGACCACGCTCTTTTAAAGGAACAGTAGCTTCAAGTCTGCCTATCCATTATTTTAATCAGAAAGGAGCTTGGATGAATAGAGTGATATTTAAAGAATGGTTTGATTTTAAATTTATGCCTCTAGTTCGTGACCATCTAAAATCCCAAGGCTTACCTGAGAAAGCTGTGCTCCTCATTGACAATGCGCCCTCACATCCTAACGAAAGTCTCCTGAGGTCAGATGATGGAAATATTTTTGTGAAATATTTTCCCGCTAATGTTACCGCACTTATCCAACCAATGGATCAAGGAGTTATCTCAAGTATGAAGAGAATCTACAGATCAAATTTGCTACAAAAGTACATCGATGAAGGCAATGATCTGACGTGTTTCTGGAAGTCCTTTTCAGTATTAGATGCCATATACGAGATTTCAACAGCGTGGGATACAGTAAAGCCATCTGTATTGAAAAATTCATGGAAGAAACTGATGCCTTTCATCACTAATGAAGATGACAAAATCCATGGATTCACTGGATTCAGTGAAAATGAGATAGCCATAGATTGAGAAAATTGGCTAACCAAGTTCATGGTGGTGAAGAAATCAACGAGGAAAATATAAGAGAGTGGTTTGACTGTGACTCATGTGAACCAGGCTTTGAAATGTTAAGCAGTGACAAAATCATAAGTTCAGTGAGGGTGCAGCCAGAAGAGCGGGAAGAAAGTGAGAATGAGGAAGAGGTGGACAGTGCTGCTAGTAAGAAAATATCACATGGTGCTGGCTGGTCTTAATCATTTGGAATCCTTACTAGACTATCTTGAGAGTGAAGAGAACAGTTTATTAAGTGACAAGCTAATATTATGTAGGCTTCGTACGGATATCGGTAAAAAGGAAAATGCCGCGAAAACGCAAACGACAATATTAAATTTGTTTTAAGTGTTAAGTGTGAATATTCGTAAAAAGTGTTGGATGTTGTTGAACACTGTGATTGAAATAACTAATTCATACTTCAGTGTAATGTAAAAAAAAAGTATTAACTAGGCCATGAGATGACATAAAAATAAGGTTGAATAAATTTAAATACAGGTAGGTCTATAGTATTATGAAGGTACAGTATTACAGTACTACTTTTAATAAAATTTGTCTTAACCGGGTTTTCGATTAATCGTGATTTCCATCCCCACCATTATCCCGGATAATCGAGAGTTGAGTGTATTTAGAGAGTTTAAAAACCAAATATTCTGCTTAGTTGCACCAGCTGTTATATGCATATGAATTATATGCAAAGGTCATCACTACACCTCATTTTACCATGTGAAGACATGAGAAGAAATAAAAATATTGGTCACTTTGACCCTGAAGAAGGAGGCAGTAAATTCCTGCAAATCACTGGTAGTATTGTAATCCCTTTCTTTACCCAGATGATGACACAATGAGCAGTGATTAGTAAGTCAAGTAAAGTAAAGGTATCCCTGTAACAGGCCACGGAGACCCATAGGGTTGTGAAACCCTGAGTCTCCTGCATTTTCCAGACAGTCAGCTCACAGATGGCAGTGAGGCCATCTGCCTTATGTGCTGGCCGCCCTTTACCCTCAGGAAAATTCCTGGTACTCATTTCTATGAGAGGCTGAGTCAACCCCCAGGCCACAGTGTGGCTGGAAGGATTAGGTCAACTGAAAAATCCAGTAACCTCGTTGGGAATCAAACCTGTGACCTTCCAGGTTGTAGCATAGTGCCTCAGCCAACTATGCTACCATGTGCCCTCAAGCATGACATCATAATGTAGTCCCAGAATTTTTAGTGTTATTCTCTAAACATAACCTATTCAATTACAAGCTTCATATCAATTTTAAAATAATCATTTATGTAATGGAAAATATCTAATATCTTTTATTTATAATATCTTTACTGTCTAATGTTCTGAAGTTGTCTCTGTTCAGTGGCAAGAAAAGACTTCCATGAAGTGTTTCTCTGTAGCTGTGGAAGATGTATAGTTTATTCTTGGGTACATTTTGTGGCAGGTTGAATTTATAATACGTCGGGTTCCATTCGGACGTGTATTTGCAATCCGACGAGATGTGGAAGGTCAAAGCCTGGGAATCACACAAGAAGGTAATACAGCAGAGATCCGTGATGTCATGCCAGGAGGACTTGCAGCTTGTCATGGACTTGCTCCTCGGGCACAGACATGTGATGGGCTCTCACTGACCAATTGGGTTATCACTGAAATCAATGGGCGGCCACTTAATCTGTTCTTCAAAGATGGAGAAGTACGGGATCGTTTAAATGCTGTAGGAAAGGATATATCTATTCTTGTGCAACCGTTTGATCTAATAAAGCAATTGAAAAAGCAGCTAAAAGCTTTGCGAAGCTATAAGGAATATATTGTGCAATAGTGGCTATAAATTAATAGATTAAGAATAATTTTGATACAAAAATTAATCATTTTAACAGTAAGGAAGACTAGGAAAACGCTTTAAGCTCATATGCTGTAACAGTATAATAATTTACTCTATATTCTACTCAGTTATATACTACAGAAACAAGGTCTGTAATTTCACCTTAAGAGTTAGTTGTTTCCTGCTATATGAAATTTGCAAAGAATCCTTAGGGACTGATGATTTTGTACACCTTGTGACATTTTTTTTTTTTCACTCTTGACCTCACATTAAGACTTTTATTAGCCATAACAAATGTCATTGTTTCATAAAACTTAATGCAGGAAAATTCTTAATTTACTAGACAGTGGGTTTTTGGCCTTTCCAGAATATCATAAACATGTACTTTACCCATATGAGGCAGCTTCATGACCCACAGGTTGAAAGTCACAGAAACTTCCAGAAAACTATCCTCAAGGCATCTGAACAAGTAAATGGTATTGCATGATCTGGTAAGCTGAAAGTGTCCTTTCATTATTAAAATAAAATAAATCAATCATAAAAAATGGCAGAAGTCCTGCAATAAATTAATTAATTCCTTTTTCAATCTTTTGATATAATCTAAAATAAAAAGGAGAAACCAGACAGCCACTTGATGTTCTGAATATTTGTTTTCACTTTCTTTTTGATTCTACTGTCATCTTCTTTGTGATATCACCACAATTTGAGGACTGGTGTCGCATCCCAGTCTATTTCAAAGATTTCTCCAAAACCTTTAACGTGTGATAAGAAATATTCTCAATTAGCAGTGCCATTTCTTTGTTAATGGCTATACTGTTCATTAAGCTGAAAACCCTTTCAACTTCTGCAATAACCACAACAACTTTCATTATTGTCTTGGTTTCTTTAATTGTTTGGAGAGTCTGAGTGTTTGATAAATCTCTTTTGATTCATTCATTCATTCATTTATTTATAGTTCCAAAAAATCCATAGAGGCATCTGCCTCAGATATAGAACCAAGTCAATAATACAATATAACATAAATATACATACATAATCAGATAGTCATCATCGTCAAAATTTAAATACTCAATACAACAAAACTACTGTACAGCAATACATTCCATATATCAGAATAACATTTAAAATTACATACACGATCAGAAGACCACCAAGATCCTTAATATAGTAATATAAAATCTAAATCTTTGGTCCACTAAATCTTGAAAAATTTATAGGAATCCTATAGTTTATGAGGTTGCTTAACTGCTGAAGCCTCTTGTCCATCTAACCAAGGGGAGAAAGCTGGCTGACCTGTGGGCTCCAATACATTAGACAATAAGTCCAATGTGAATCTCATCTGGGAGCCTGGCCATTTCAGATTTTTTCCTGGCTTTCCTTAGTATCTCCAAGCGAACTTAAGATAATACCTCAACTTAGGCCACATTTACTTCCAAATTCCTTCAGATTTATAATTCAGTGCTATATAGTCTGAATTACTAACAGTGCCTTAAATAAACCACAAATAAAATTATCAGAAATGGTGTTCAATAGGATTCCCATTTTCTTGGATTATGGCTCGAATTTATGACTTTCTCAAGCTCTTCTTTTTCATTGTTTTTATTAAACATATTATATTTTGACATTTTGATGGCAATATGAAAAGCTCCGTGCTTCATCAACAGAATAAATGTAGGCTTTCACTCTACTGTGGCTTTTTTCATCTTGCATTCATACCATTAGTGTTCTGTACATCCTGTTGAGTCCTCTTAACCCTAGTTTGACTTTGGCTGTGTCAGTATTTCCCATGAATTATTTTAAGTCCAGGCCACTTGCAGTTGAATTTGAAAATTCCTTGTCATTGAGACTACAGCACTGGTGGTGGTCCTGTTAATGGAAATATGCCGATTAAGTTGTGGGCTACCTGTTCCGCTCACTTGGGTTTGAGTGCCTTAAGCATTAGAAAGTTTGTAAGGTGATGCTGGCATATTTGTATGAATTTGTATTTACCATCTTACTGAGACTTAATGCCTGTTAAGTCCCCTGACAGCATGAATTAAATTCAGTGGTGTAACAAGTACTAATTTTTAAACTATTTCTGTTTCAGCCAACAAGGTTTGTACACAGTGTGACACTTAAGTTCCTGAACTGACGCTATTACAGTAATACTACTAATGCCATCATTCAGGGATGAATGGGACTAGATAGAGAGAATGTTTATTTATATGGTGTGCAAGTTTCAACTTGTTTGGCTAATGCATGTGAGGATTACTGTTGTTTTGGTGAAGTTGGTTTTTTTCGTCATGTTCAAGTTTTGAAAATGGATCAAAGAGCAGTGATTAAGTTTTGTGTAAAATTAAAGAAAACATCTACTGAAACATTTTAAATGTTGAAAAGTATGTGCGGTGAAAGAATAAAGACTGCCTTCTTCTGGGATGTGCCGCCGTGTAGATATTTTGCTGACCGACGTTTTGCAGGAGCATATCGCCTCCTTCTTCAGAGTATAAGAAATCCACAAGCGATGGACCAGCATGAGCAGATGTCTGTTTATCGAAAACAAGTGTGTTTGAATGGCATAAATGTTCAAAGAAGGACCAGAGTCGTTACAAGACAGTGAACAGAAAGGCCGTCATTCAGCTTCCAGAACAGAAGCGTCGACGGTAGTCATTCAAAAGTGTTTGTGTGAAGATCGAATTTTGAGTACTCAGATGTTAGAAGAAATGACAGGGATCAATAGAGAAACACTATGTAAGATATTAGTCGAAGATTTTAAAAAGAAAGAAGTATGCTCATTTTGTTCCTCATTTGTTAATGCTGGATCAAAAACATCAATGCACTGCATTGCCTGTTGAATTTTTTGAAGTGACTGATGATGATAGAAATGTTTTAAAAAAGGATTGTAACTGGTAATGAAAGTTGGTGTTTCATGTATGATCCAGAAACAAAATGTCAGAGTGCAACTTGGTTGAGCCCAAAGAAACCTAAACCTCAGAAAGTGATACTGCAAAAATCGCAGGTGAAAACAAGGCTGTTTCATTGATCCAGCAGGCTGTAACAAGAGAACTGAAGGCGATATGGGAAGAATAATTTTCTCAGGTATTCAATTTGTTGTACGAGCGATGTAAACATGTGGAAGCAGGCAGGACCTATATTGAGTGATGGTATTAATATTTATCTTTTTTGTTTTTTTTATGGCCTCAGTTCAGGAACTTAATTATCACACTGTGTATACAGTAGTTGTGAACATACTTCCGCGTCACAATAAGTAATATTCTTAAACCTGTCTGACAGCTTCTTGACCATTTATTCTTGTCGACTATGTCCATGAGGTATTTTATGTTGTCAGTAGTCATTTGCTGTGAGATATATAAAACAAAATTGTGCCCCTCTCATCTTCCACTGGAATTAAGCTTGTTTCTATTTGCACAACCAACATGTCATGTCTTTTTAGCAGCCTGACATCATAAGTCTTCTTTTTGTACAAACTGTAAGCATAAATTACTTCACTTACTAAGTATTGATACAGGCCGTGCCATAGCTCAGGTGGTTAGTTGCTGGCTTCTGTCCGCAGTGGCCCAGGTTCAAGCCCATGTCAGGTCATGTGGGATTTGTGGTGGTCAAAATGGCACTGGGACAGGTATTCTTCAAGTACTTCAGTTTCCCCAGCCAATTCTCATTCCACTGACTGCTCCACACTCATCATCATCTATCATCTGAGGCTGGTACAGTTGGCCAAATAGTGGCCAACATACCAAATGGACTCAGTTTCACCCTATGTCAAGAAACTAAAATAATGTTGTCATTACTATGTTAGATAAACACTGCAGCAGTCTTGACTACATAAAAATATTCCTTTTTAAATTGGGTATGATCTCTTGCTGCCACTTTGAATGAAAGTGATGGTGGGTTATGGATGGACAGTGTAATGAGAATTCAAATGTTTTCACCTTGTGTTGAGCCTGACTTTCTTTTTTTATCTAGTGTGGCTTTATTAGAACACAATAAGAATTCTCTGTGGCACTGATAGAAACTTGCACTGTCATAATGTATGTACTGGGCTTGTTTGTGTTCATGTAACCCACAGAACTGTGGTCTGAGGGAAAATACTTGGGTACAGGGATTGATCTGAGGAGTGACAACCTAGAGGAAAGGCTTTTGGGCTTGGACTCTTAAGCTCCCAAATACCATTCTGTTACCCACAGATGCCTCGTAGCTGTGTTAAAGCAAGTGTGGGGCTGATCGTAAAGATTGTACAGGTGAACGCACATGACAGTGCTGATAATTGCTCAAAGTGCTCCTAAAAGGAATAACAAAAACACAACTACAGTACTTCAATGGAATCACAACCAGTATTATATAGAATTCCTAGATAATATTGAAACAAAGCATTCTTACTTTAGGTGGTGTTCTGGGGAATTTCATGTAATACCCAGATATTCCATACAGTACTGGGATTTTACACTTTTCCTGTAATGTACACACTCATAGTACAAAGGGGTGTGTGGCAGTGGTGGAGTGCTCATAATAAGCATGTTAGCCTGGTTAATGTTCTGAAAAATAAAGTTGTGTTACTTTTTTGGTTCATTGCTACTCCACATACTGGCAGAAAAAGCAATGAGATAATGCATCATTTGCCACCTCCAGCCAGCCAATCACAGACTTGTCAGCCAGTTCCTTCAGGCTTACACTAGCCATTTCTGAGAACAGGAGCAATTAGAAGAGACACAGGTAGTGTAGGCTTGAGGAGAGGAGGGAGTGCATTATGTTCCAAATGTTGCATGGGTAAAACTTTTCAGTAGTCATTTTCTGCCACTGGAATTTGCATACACCTAATGAACTCCATGGTTCAGTGTCTTCCATGAATGGTTGTTAATCATCTAGTCAAGAAATTTCCATCTTTTATTCCCATGTTCAAATAATTTCAACCCCTGTATCAGTAAAATCCATCTTAATATATCCTAACTTTTATGTCTGTTTTATTTTCCCAAGTAATATTCTCCCTAGAGGTTTCCTGACAAATTATGTTTTATACATCTCTCATTTCATCATGTATGGTGTGAGTCTTGCCTACATCATCCTCCTTGATTTAATATACCTAACAGTATTAAGTGGAGAATGCAAATTATGGACTTCCTTAGTGTAGTAAATATTTGGGTATAACAAAGAGAAAGCAGCTGGAGAGTAGAATCTACACACACATCAGTAAAATCTCAAGAGTAAGACTATAAAATTTTAGGAGCACATTTATATATTTACTTGTCATTTTAACTTACAGTGCAGATCTTCAGTGATCCAGTATGTACAAAATTTAGGTGTGTTTTTATTGAATTTACCGTGAAAACAGCGCAATTTTGCTCATAAGAGTTTAGCATTTTTTCATAACTTGCCAGATAGTTACAAGTTTGTTTGTATTTAGAAGTGTTATCTTGCAGCAATTGATTACATTGAGACCAGCATGCAAGATATGGTGGGTCACCTTCATTAATGTTGGCACTTTCTGCATTGTCTTATAAACCATCAATACTATAAAAGTTAGTTTACTTTCTTAAGAGAAAGAGTAATAATGGAGTTCACACTGTAAAAAAACGGGGAAGCGCAGCAGCAGATATGAAAACTGACCAGGTGTCTTATAAAAGGAATTTTTTTTTCATTATGAGCTGGTAATGTAAATGTATATTTGATATAAAAATATAAACAGTCATGGATTAGTGTATGGTATATGTGCTGCGACCATAACGTACATTTTACAGTTATTATTATTTTTTTTACTGCTAGTGGGGTGGGACTAAGTCCTTTGTACTTTGGCCACTTCTGGCCTATTGTACCAGCCCCAGATGATAAGTGAGAGTGATTGTGGAGCAATTGGTGGAATGAAGATAGGCAGAGGAAACCAAAGTACTCAGAGAAAACCTGCCCCAGTGCCACTTTGT